TGATCTGTATTTTTTAGGTCAAACAAAAGTTGTTGAAATGCTCATAAAGAAAGGAGCCAAAGTTGATTCGACAGACAAAGAACAGCGCAAACCTCTTCATTTGGCTGCTATGAATGGTAATTTGAAATATTTTTGCTCACTAAATAAGAAATCGCTTGGATCTAATTCATTGACTGGACTAACTTTTCAGGACAAAAGGGTGTTGCTGAGGAGCTTATCATGAAAGGAGCCAATCTTGATTTGGGAGACTGCCATAACAAGACACCTCTTCATTATGCTGCTGGGAATGGTAATGTTGAATATTGTTTTTTTTTTTCAAAACAAGAAATTGGTTAAATCTATTTCATTGATCTGTATTTTTTAGGTCAAACAAAAGTTGTTGAAATGCTCATAATGAAAGGAGTCAAAGTTGATGCTAAAGACGCTTTTAAACGTACACCTCTCCATTATGCTGCTATTAAGGGTAATGTTGTCTATTTATTTTCGCTTAGGAAATTTGTTTGATTTTTTTCATTGGTCGGTGTTATTTTTCAGGTCACAAGGATATCATTGATATGCTCATCACGAACGGAGCCAATCTTGATTTGAGAGACTGCCATAACAAGACACCTCTTCATTTTGCTGCTGACAATGGTAATTTGGAATATTTTTGCTCACTAAATAAGAAAGCGCTTGGATCTAATTCATTGACTGGACTAACTTTTCAGGACACAAGGATGTTGCTGAGAAGCTTATCATAAATGGAGCCAAATGTGATATTATCGACATTCTTCAACGGACACCTTTTCATTATGCTGCCATGAAGGGTAATGTTGGATAAGTGTATTTTCGATCAATAATTATCTCTTATAAGAGCAGGGAGTGTAACTCCGAGCAGGAGGAATGGTAAGGAGGTGAATGAGGAGAAGGAGAAAAATTACCAAAATTGAGGCATACTATAAAGTAGAGTGAAACTGGATACTGGAGATTTTGCATTGACGTTTCCGACTGTAAACATGACATCAATTCATATGCGTGTGCTGTCAAAGTCACTTTGTCATGCGTCATTCACATTAATGCTTTGACTGATTGTGGTTAACAGTGGTGAGATTGGAAACGCCATACATTTTATATACATTATTTGTTTGGGAATTATATTCATTTATTTTCTTTTATTGTTGATATTCGGGCTCTGCAAAGCCTAGGCCTAGGGGAATTTAACTCTTACGAGTGCAGCATGTTTTGTGCCAGTTTGCTTGATTCGCGGAAGTTCGACGCGTTCGTTGTACGTACTGACGCGCACGGTCACAAGTTTACACAAGTTTGTTTATGGTTTTGCGCGTTTTTCAAGTTTTTATTTGACAACTAAAACGCGTTTCAAACTAAAAATCGGTTGTTTACGTGTATAAAGATTTTTCACATCCTTTCCAAAAGTTCAAAGATTTATATAATTATAAAATGGACAAAGGAAATATTTTTAAAGAGCTGGAGAAAGTGTTGGAAGAAAAAGTTAATCCAGATAGATAAAATAAATGGAACGACTGATGTGTGCGCGTCGTCCAGCTTCATGTTTGCACACGAACTCGCACAAGTTCGCGAATGTTGTTTTTATACGGAACTTGTCAACTGAGTGGAATCATGTACGTTCTCTGGTGAATGTAACAATTTCGTGCGCGTTTATATCATTTTTTTTACAAGTTTTCACGTAGTTAAATCCCCCTAGGCCTAGGCTTCATCCACAATTTGTTTTCCAAAGAAATATTTCGAAAAAATCGTGAGTTTGCACTGTCAACACTTGTGTGGTTTTTCATATGATTTTGAAGTCTTCGAATATTGCCACCCGTTCACACATTCAATGAACTTGCTACACCAAGTGATAGTTTAGTTCATTGGTGACGTTTTTTAATCCGCCATACGTTTTTATATGTGTGTGTACATCAAAATGTCAAAGTTGTCAAGAATGCAACCGTTCTCCTCGTTCTTTATTTTAAACACTTCTATTGATTTTGATCATAGTTTTTTTATCGTTGGCATTCGTTCCAAATCAATAAAAGTGTTTGAAATAAATTTATATGCCTCAATTTTGGTAATTTTTATTTCCTTCTCATGTTAGGAGGAGGAACCTCCTCAGCGCACTCCTCCTCTTCATTCACCTCCTCACCATTCCTCCTCCTCGGAGTTACACTCCATGTATAAGAGGAGATCAGTTTGATCAATTTCATTGATCGGTGTTATTCTCCAGGTCTCAAGGATGTCGTTGAAAAAATCATCACGAAAGGAGCCAATCTTGATTTGGGAGACTACCATAACAAGACACCTCTTCATTTGGCTGCTATGAATGGAAATTTGGAATATTTTTGCTCACTAAATAAGAAAGCGCTTGGAACTAATTCATTGACTGGACTAACTTTTCAGGACACAAGGATGTTGCTGAGAAGCTTATCATGAAAGAAGCCAAAGTTGATATCAAAGATAATAAATGGCGAACAGTTCTTCATTATGCTGCCATGAAGGGTAATGTTGAATAAGTGTATTTTCGATCAATAATTATCTCTTATAAGGGGAGATGAGTTTGATCAATTTCATTGATCGGTGTTATTCTCCATTATTCTCCAGGTCTCAAGAATGTCGTTGAAAAAATCATCACGAAAGGAGCCAATCTTGATTTGGGAGACTTCCATGACAAGACACCTCTTCATTATGCTGCTGAGAATGGTAATGTTGGTTAATTATGCTCAATAAATCAGAATTTGGTTTGATCTTTTGCATTGATCGATTTTATTTTCCAGGTCTCAAGGATATCGTTGAAAAGCTCATCACAAAAGGAGCCAATCCCAATAATAGAGATCTTAATGGGAAGATACCTCTGTCACTAGCTATCAGCAAAGGTACTGGATATATCGGATGTTCCGTAACAAATTGATTTGAACTTTTTCATTGATCGATATTATTTTTCAGGTAAGGCTGACGTCGCTGAAGAGCTCATCAATAGAGGATCCGATCTTACTTCTAAAGATCAATACGGAGACACACCTCTTCATCTAGCTGTTATGAATGGTAATTTTGAATATTTTCACTAAATAAGAAATAGATTTTTCACATTGGTCGATATTTTCCTTCAGGGAACTTAAAGATCGTTCAACTTCTTGTGGAGAAGGGCGCCAGTCTTACTGCTAAAGATTATCGTCGAAATGCACGTACACCTTATGAGACAGCTTGTGTTTTTGACGGTGAAGGTAATGTTGAAAATTTCTGTTCAGAAAAAATGTGATTCAATCTTTATCACTGATCGATATTATTTTCCAGAACACAAGGAAATTGCTGCCTATCTTAAAACCAAACTTTAACCATTGCTGCTTTGTCAGACTATCGATTTTAACATTGTGTCAGAAAAAGCACTTCAAGTTATTTGTCTTCTAAATTTCCTACGGTATAGATATTGAATAAAATATTATTTTTGGGATTTGTCCAACTCGAACAGATATCCGTGCTAAATTTGGACGCGATATGCGTGAGTTATACGCTATAAGAAACTATGTTAAATGTAAATGAAAATGTTTTTTTTTAATGATCATATTTGGTATTATAAGATACAGTCATTAGACTTTACAGCATATGATATTTCTTAATATATTCTTTGTGTTGATGAAAATTTTTGGATTTGTTTTGTGGAAAATCGTAAAAAACCACAATATGACGGGGTTGGCGATGTTAGATTTTATGGTTAAATCAAATGAAAACTGCACACACCGTTGAATCAATGTCATTTCAAATTTGAACGTGTGTTAAGGTTGTACCAATCCAGGAAAATAGTACTTTACTCGAAACTTCAGCTGCAAGCGATTTGCATAAAAATAACAAATTATTCTTTTCTGACAGAATGTAAATAAATCAAACACAATAAATTATAAAAATTAATCTAAATTTTGGTCAGGTTTGAAGTGGTTCTGGTTCACTTTCAAGGGCAACAATTGTAATAAATAAAAATATTTCATTTTTGTGCTGATATTACCTTGACTTTTGTTCTGTATCAACTTTTATATGAATAAACAAAAGTATAAGAATTATTAACTCGAGATCAACTCCAGGTTTGCACGAAACTTCCTCGAATAAAAACCTAGCGAAAATGAGTCAAAAGTCATTATGCAGAGTCGAATCATGTATGAATCATGTTTAAAATTTCATTTCTATCTTCCTAGTAAGTGTTCCACTTGAATTTCATGAATACAAAAATACAATACACGGTTTGAAATGTTTTTTCTAGATGAGAATAAAAAGGATATCTGTTCACAACGTTAAATGAGTTAATATTGGGAATGTATCTTGGCGAGGTGATTGCAATGCCAAACTTTCTCAACGAAACGAAACCAAAGCTGTTGAACAGTTTCGAAGAAATTCGTTCAGCATTCAATGAGTTGGTGGAAAATAGCGATTGGATGGACCAACTGACAAAAAGAGCTGTCATTGAAAAGTCTCAGGCCATGAAAGTGAATATTGGATTTGCAGAGTTTTTACTGAACAAAACCAAAGTCGATGAATATTTGAAGGGTTTAAATTTTACCAATAGTTCGTTTTTAGTGAATGAACACAGTATGAGGAATATAGAAAATAGATTTAAGATAATTGGTAAAACCAGTTGGGAGGTGCCGGACATGATGGCCACGGAGGTTAATGCCATAAATTACCACACATCAAATAGTTTGAGTAAATTCCTCTCAATTATATCTAATTGCATAATGCATTGAATT